AAATGTTGCTTATGTTAGTCAAACTTAGTTTGTCGATTAGTCCTTAAGACACATACATTTCTTGCTTCAATTATAACAAGATGCATAACTTCAGTCTTTATATAAGATATAGGGGTTCTGCTTATGGTTATAATGGACTACTCTTCTGTCAACAATTTGGGTAGATAAAATAAAGGTAGGGAGAGCAAGGACTTTAGAAAATGGGAAATGTTCTGTCTTTAACTTGAGAAGTAGTTTCCAAAAGTAAGAGAAGCAAGGAAACCAGAAAAAAAAAAATTACCAGTGGCTTAAGCAAGGCAACGGGATTGATTAAACACTTTTGAGACTTAGAGTTGGTGTAAAGACCATCTCTGTGGCCCTGATACCATGTCACTATAAACTTCTATCATCTAAAGCTCCCAGAGTCCTGTTCGTTAACTTTTATTTGTTAACCCTATGCATATGCTTCCCAGTTCCCACAAGTGAACTTAGCAAAATGCGCTCTTGACTGCTCAACAACCAATGTATTGACATTATTCTTTAATTTTTGGTGAATTTCTTGTTTTAAATGGGAATAACAATACCTTTTGTTAATTCACATTTTCTTGTTGAAAGTTTGAATCTTTTTGGAAGTGGAAGTTACTTAAATAGTCTATACTTTCGATCTCATTGCTGGCTAGGCCTAATGTTCTTTTTCAATTAAGATGTTAAATTAAAAGATTTTGGCAAATTAAAAGATTTTGGCAGATCAACGAGAAGTTATATCAATTAATTTTGATGAAGCACAATATTAAGTCCTCTCTTTGAGGAAATTTTCTACTTATTAATTTTGCATACGATGCTACTTAGGCCTCAACAATAAAATACTTAGTCGATGCTTTTGCAGCTGACTTCAGGTTGATGCTTTTGCAGGAAGAGAAGGATAAGAAAATTCAGGATCTAACCAGTGAACTACAGCGTGAAAAAGAACGGTCTGCAGCATTTCGGCAGCAACTACAGAAGATTCTCAAAGATCTCGAAGAACATGCTGAATTTATGTCAATAAGAGTTGAAGACATAGTTGACAGCCTGAAAAAGGTTGAACTTGATGATGTATAGCTTTAACTGGCCTTGTTCGCCTGCAATTTTTCATAGGATGGGCCATAACTAAACCTAATTTTATAACACTAGGATACTGCTAAATTCAATCCGTGGATTCGACATTCTAAATGTTCTGAGGCTGCGATTGTAGTTCATCAGCATAAAACTGTATCTTAAAAACCACCATGATAGAAGAAATATTTGCTAGGGATTTCTTTGGCATTTTCCTCTCAGTGAGTTCTGTTGTATTCAAACAAGTGAAGAAGATGAAAACGGTTTTAACATGTTAATTTCCTTAAATTTCAATGATGAGTTCTTTTCACCTGAGCAAAACCACCTCCCCTGTTATACCTGCTTCTTTCCCCCTCCCCGTTTTTGGGTGTGTGCATGCACTCATATAAAGCATTCAGACCCTGTACTTGCTAGTGAAGATGAAGATGACTCTTGACATGTTGATTCTTGAAATTTCTTCTTTTATTGCTGCACCTCTGCAGACCCTCGCTTCCCAGACCTTTGTGTCCTAACTAATAAGCATTAAGACCTCACATTTTCAGGGAGAATTCAACGACCTCCATGACTGCAACATGAGAAAGCGTTATATCGTCTTGTGAGGTCCAAATATTCGTGATTGAATATATTTTCTTTTCTGTTCAAACTCTGCGTGTTCAACCATGTATCAGAAGACTACCCTTTCGAAGGTTCATTTTTGAAATTACCCTTTCATTGGTTGCTTCTGTCAATTTCCTTTTGTAGTTTTGATTAGTAACTGGTAAGCCAACATATATTTTTTTGGTTATAGTTAATAAACTCTCAAAGATGGAGGGATTCTAGTTAATATTAGGGATGTTGGTCTCTTTGGTGCTCAGATTGGCCTTCAGAACATATTTCAAGCAATTACTTACTTTGAACACGGTGGAATGCTCTCCTTGGAACCTGAATGCCTTCTATTTCCTGTACTTATCAGAGTTCCAAAATAGGTAAAAGGTGTGAACGTGTTTCAGGAGGAGCCGCTGACTCTTACTTTCTTCTTTTAGAATTTGAC